AGCCTGAGGCTGTGATCTCCATGTCATCCCATGCTGTGAGGAGCCAGCAGCACTGACACACAGCACAGCCACACAGTTTGGGGAGCTGGGGCCAGCACCCCCCAGAGACCTGGGGATACTCTGACCATCCTCCTGGGTGCCTGGGGGGCCCCTCCTCTGCTGGGGGAGCTGTATCTCCCCAGTAACCTCTCCTCAAACAGCCAAGAGTGCGATGGGGACCATAACTGTGTTCTCATTAGCCACTTCTGGAGGTTGAGACGTGAACTGTTTCAGTAGTTATTTTTTTTTTCATATCAGAAATGTAGGCAAAATTTTGATGTGTGCTGCCATCTGCTGTGGACTTAATATTATCATAAGCATTTCAAATTCATTTCTGATAGAGGTAATGTTGCTGAGAGTCAGGGTGCCCAAAGAAATGATACATGGCACACACTCATTGTAAAAAAGGATATAAAACCCCCTTCCATTTGACCCTCTATGCAAAACATACTTTGAAAAGTGGGAAATCAGTAGAGAGAAATTATAATGTACCAGTGATTTTATTTTTAAGTGCAAATTATTTCCCCCTCAAGTGCTTTATGCTGTGGTGTCTCAAGACAGCCTTATACTTTGCCCTTCTCTTCTCATTTTTCACTCCCTCACTTCCCACCCTCTCTCACCTGAAAGCTTCAGGGATACTGTATTTATTTTAAGATCACACCTCAGAGAAGAAGGACACACTCTCACTACTGCCCTTAGGAGCCACCTTAATTCAGCAAGAAATAAGCAAATTCTTTCTTGGGAAAGCCACATCCAGTCACCCAGCCACCGGAGCCCCACCAGCCTGCACTGCACCAGGCTCAGAGGGGAACAGTCCTTGAAAAATGGGTTCACAGGGTAGCATCCCACTTGCTGCAGCTAATTTCCATTTATTTAGTCCTCTGTTAAAGGATTAAAGCAGTTGCTTTGGCGTTATGGTCTAAGGCAGCATTTTGCCAAGCTTGTTTTCATCGTGCGGCTGTACCCAGCCCTGGTTATGGGGAGACATAGATGTGTGCTGGCAGGGGTCTAACGTGGGTGTCCGAGGTGAGGCTGGGTTCCTTGCTCAGCTGCCAGTCGTGTGCCTGAATTTATATGGCGTAAATGCTCTCTAGCATTAGGAGATTCAGGATCATTATTTTTTTTCCTCTTGCCCATTGCACTTTGCATATTCATATTGCTCAGACTGGCAGCTACCAAGGTGCTCTTCAGAAAAACAAATCAGTTATGGAGTCAATTTTCTTTTAATCAAGAAATATTGGTCTGACCATTTTGTGCCATCCACAAGGCTGCATTTTTATCTCTCACCTGCCAAAATTTGAAGTAAACTGTTCAAAATACTACCCACCTGACTGGTGTCGATGCTGGGGGGACAACCGTCTGTATTCTACTGGAGCAGGAGCTCCACCAGCAAGAAAACATGTGACAAAAGCAAGAAAACAAACTCAAAAGCCTCTGCTCATGTGAAATACATAAAAGCAGAGATTAAAGGCAATGATTGAGTGTGCTCTCTCAGGTCAGATAAGAAACAATTCCTTGTGTCTACCCTAAAGTTAAACAGCCAAAGTAAGCTCAGTTCTCACCGTGCTTTATGTAATCTCAGGCCCCTATTGCCCAAAAGTGTGGTACTGCTTCTCACAGGGCTATTTGTTGAAGAAATGAAATTTGATCTGCATATCTTAAAATTGTACTACACTTGCAGAGATACTGGAAAGTGTGTACCTTTCAGCGGTCAAACTAGTTTTGTCACCGCAACAACAAGATTTACAGTGCAGCACTTAGAATACAAGACTTCAACCTGCTTTGTTTGGATGTTGAAGGCTCTCAAAATCTATTTTGTTTTTTTTTTAAGTTTAATGTGCAGTTCTTGTGTTTGCATTTATGGACTTACGTGAATCTTGACAGTGAGACCAGCAGAGGTGTGCGGCATCCCTACCTCTGTGTAGTGATTGCTTCCTGGTGCAGGATGTGTTAGCATGTTAAAAGCGTGTCACCTCTCAGAAGACACTTTGGCTTTCTCAGACACCAAACTTAGGCATTTGTTTTTATGCTTATCTCTGTATCTTTACAGAAATTGCCTTTTTATTTGCACATCTCAAGTGAAAAAAACTAATTTTGGATTGGCCAAAGGAGGGCTTATGCATGTGATGTTTTTTGGACTGTCTGGGGAAACTGCCTATTGAATACAAGTCACATCTGGTTCATCCAAACTTATCAGCTTTGTCTCAGTTTCCAGACTTAACTACCATGATGAGAGGAACAGGTAATGAATAGAAAACGAATACATCTTCACATGTTGGACATTTCTTCTGAATTGGATTCATTTTTGGAGAGTCTGTTACACGTTGATGCAAGTTTTCTCCACAGGCTGTACATGCAGGGACATTGTATTTCTAAGGGATACTACGGCTGTAACATAATCCCGTGTACAAGCAACTGTTTTGACCAGTGATCTGAGTTCACAAGCTAGAAGCTGTTTCATCAGCCTCTTCAATAATGCAGCTCTAGTATAAAGAGCTTAAATACTTCCAAGGTGTTTACCATGAAACTCCTAATCAGGATTAGTTAAACTAGAGCTGCCTTCAGCCCTATCTGGTTTGGTAGGCCTCTGTACAGGCACGTGCAATGTAGACAATTATTTTCATTTAATAGAGGAAAAATCCAAGGAAAAGGAAAGGCTTGTTAACCTGTCATACCACCTCTTTGAAAAGTTACTGTCTAGCAGTTCCTTCCAGCTGTAATACTGACTACCAGTAGAGACCAGCTCATCAGTCCCACCTCTTTTTGAATAAAACACAATGCCCATCTCTGCACAAAACCCTTCCCACAGCAAATGTCCTAAAACCCCAAGTATCTTCATCTGGGTTAACAAAAAGAAATATGCTAATATTGTTACTATATTTATTTCAAAACCTCTGGCATACATATTAGTAGCATAAGTTGGGCGAAGAAAAACCAGTTTTACAGAGTGAGTCTTTCGTGTTCTGCCTGTACCTGAGACACGACAGCAAGGGGCATAACAGAAATCAGAAGAAAGATTTGCAGGCTCCCTTGGCTAGATCTACCCATAAGTGACTGCCATTGATCTGGGGGTCAGTGTGGCTTCTTGTTGGGAAGAGTTCACTAGCTTTCTACATTTTACGTTGGATTTCTCTTTAATATGAAGGTAGACCACAATGGAAACTTATCATACAGTCTTTTTATGTAAATAGGAGGAGTTAAAAAGTAATACTCAGGGGCCTTTTCAGAAATATGAAATAATAACTCTGTGAGCTCAGAGCACAGTGCCCTTGACTCCAGATTGCTGATACTAAAACACGAGCCATGTTTGGGCTGTGAAAACGTTGTGATAAAAAACAGCGAACATTAAAACTCTCCCAACAGTATCTTAGTTACACAAGGGTTCAACATACTTTGTTTTAATTCTGTCGTGGTTCTGTCAAGTTGAAATTTGTCATTTCGTTACATTTTTTGTGTCAGCTTTGCAGTAACACTTTCCTCTTTCTAACAACGTGCTGGTTTCGGAAGTGCTGTTTCCATTGCACTGCAATTCCTTTAGCCAGGGTGAAAGGTATTGATGCAGTGTGCTCTGAGATCAAAGTTTGTATCCACAGAACAATGTGGAGGTCGACAGTTTGTGTGGATTTGCTGTTCCCTCTTGATTTTGACCTGGCAGATTGCAGTGTGAATGCAGTTCCAGTTCTGCTGTCGCTTTCTTGCAGCAGTGGTGGATGACAGTGGTGATGCAGATATTGATTTAGAAGCATACAGACGGCATCCAAAACCACATTTCAAGCAGAGCAGCAGCACTTGATCAGGTGATAAGACCAATTTTGGCTGATGTTGAAAAGCTCTGACCATATTTTCCATTATTCAGCCTACTTTTAGTCCCTGGCAATCAATTCTAAATTTGACAACTTTCATTCCAGGATTTTTACAAAGGGCAAGTGCAAAATGATCAGATGTTTTCCTACCTAAAACATGTTTCCTGGCTTGTAAAACAGGAAACCACAGCAGCACTTCAGATATTTTGTCCCTTGCCTGGCTGGCATCAGTTCACTAGCACTACTGATGTCATTAATAGGCACAAAGAGCGTGGGATCTATATTGTCCTGTTTGCAGAGAAAGGGAGGGAAAACGGGGAAGGTGACTGAGCATGAGCGCCTTGGTGAACTGTACTACATAATGTGAGCTTGGGAGTATTTGGTGGCTATTGCACTGCATGGTGCATCATAGAAAGAGCAATGATTTTGGCTCTCTAGCCTGTTTAAAGGCAGTAAAGAATCTCCTCTTCCCTTTAAGACTGTTCAGTAATCTCAGAATTTTTCAGTAGAGTTAGAGCCTGTGCGTTGCTCATTTCAGAGCTATTTACCACGAGAAAACAAGTAAGAATTAAATTTTTACGGACTTTGTTCCCAGGCATATGATAAAAGATTTGAATCCAGAATTTTTTTTCTGACAAAAGTTGAACATACTTGCCAAATACTTGCCAAAATTGCCAACTGCTTGCTTACTGTTTGCTTTATGGCTTTGAAGAAAGCTGCTGCTGCCTGTGCAACAGAGCATGGACCTTATATATGAATACTTTCAGGAAAAAAGTAATTTTTTAGTCTGGTTCTTGGAAGGTAAGTACTAAAATAATAGCTAGAAACCTGATTTGAAGTTGCTCATGGTGCCTGCAAAATACTGTTGTAACAGCATCCTGAGTTATCAGTCTTAGCACTTTTTCCACATGTGAAATTTGTAGCTGACAGTAAATACACATGCCCATCATCCAGCATCCAGCTGCCTCTTCCGTCCAAAAGAGGCTGAATATGCAACAGTTTGCATTAAGTACAGTTACCAGTACCAAAAAGAAATGATAAAAATTAGTCTGTGGAGGTGCAAAGCTCAGAGCAGGTGTCCAGAAGAGTGTGGTGGGTCCTTCTGTGGGGCTGGAGCATGACGTGGGTTTTCAGAAGCCCAGCACACTGCCACTCTCCTCAGGTCTGCAGTTCTTCTCTCTGGGAAGCAAAACTAGTTATGCATCTACTCAAACGCTCATGTTGCCGCCCATTGAACTCTGAAAGGGAATGCCTTTTATTTTCCCCGCTGTGCTAGGTCACCAAAGGAACTGCATGGCTACTGGAGCCAGTTCTGCCAACTGAAGTTCTTCAGAAAAACACACCACCTCAGTGAAAGAGGTGTGATCCAATTCCTATTGTGTGCCCTGTGAACCTGAGCAAATGCCATCAGCTTCTCTCACTGCTTTAGTTCACTGGTTCTCAGCCTGGCATGAGCTGAGACAGGAACGTAAGGCTCATAAAGGGATATGGTTACGGGGGATGGAGGAATATATTAGTAATAGTGTAGATACTGCACGCATGGGACACACGCATACAGGGAGATAAGTAAGCTTTGAAAGGGTTTATTTTGTTTCCTTTTAGTTGTTCCATTGCTGGTTTCTTTTTTGCTGGGGTGGGAACACTTTCATGTCTATTCAGACTTAATAGTTGAAGCACAATATTTCTCAGACGGCAGTGTATGTAGGTCACTGGTACTCCCCTTACTGCTGTGAACTTGTTACTTCCTCCCTAGTGGGAGAGCTGTTCAAAATGGAGGCAGCAAAAATTCTGTTCACAATATTGGAGAAACATCTTGCTAAATGACATCAACTAATTTTCACCAGTCAGTGGAAAGCAATAAAAAACTTTTCTTTGCACTCACAAGGGAGAGCCTTTAGCAAAATGTTTGTATCCTCCTGAAAACCTGAGTCAGAAGTGCTTTAGTCACTTCTGGAAATGGAAGATCAGAAAACACAAATGCCTCCTCTTTGATCATGCCTTGCATTAGATGACTGGCCCTGATGAGTAAGCTGTTATAAAGCTAATTTCCAGAAAGCAAGCTTTTAAGGGTATGCTGATGGCCAAATTCCTTATCCTACAATTTTGCTTCTCTTAGAGTAAAATGGGTCTCTTTCGTAACTTCTTTGCTAAGCCTTAGCTATGAGAGATAATTTTGTTTGAAGAAAGCATAGAAACTTCTGAAGAGACTAAATGAACCCCAGTCCGTGCCGAGCAATAACAGGTAAGAGCAGATCAGGACTCTTATGCCACAATATGGATCTGCCAGGTGCAAGCCGTTCCCTTGGTCCTATTTTCAAATGCTGACCAGTTCTATTTTCTTTTGGTTTGTTTCAGAGTCCATTAAGAAGCGTCAAAGTTTCTATGATGCAGTTGAAAATCTTTTTCTAAGAGGATAAATTGATGAATTAATGTTTACATCTGAAGGATGACCCTGTGAATAATTATAATATGTTAGCATTTAGCAAAACAAAGATTTAGCTGTACTTTTTTCCCCTTGATCAATTCTTTATAATGAAAATCTGTGCTTTCATTGGATTTGAACTCTTCATCTGAAATGTCTGGACTTCCGTATCTGCAAATGAATCACAATGACATATATTTGTGGGAAGGAAAAAAGGTAGTATTATGGGTCTTAAAGATTTAGAAATGTTATCCTGTCTTCTTTAGCTTTGTTGAGCGACAGATAGGAATGTGATAGCATAAATCTTCATGTGCAATATAGGTTGTGAAAACAGCTTGTATCACAGTATACAGATGGGGGGCTGAACTGAAATTGCACACATAACCTTATTTTGGGCATTTCCTTGTCTGTGAATGCTTAATACTGGCACTTCGGTTTGAGGAGGAAGTCTCACATATTTTACAAATGAGATGGGGTCAGGAGTGGTATCGTCACATACCATCACGGTGGCACAGGCAGCTGTCAGGGCTGAGGACTGTATTGCTGGTGCTGGAATAATATCATTGCTATTTATTCATGCATTCATTCATTCCAGGAAACTTGGTGCTAGAATAGCAGCGCTGGCACCACTGCCTGTGAGGATGAGGCTCGAGCAGGGTGCGATGTGCACTTTGGTTCTTAGGGTGGCTTTGCCATGAAGCTAAGAAAATGACAATTAAGAGCCTGTGCGTAGGTGTCTACCTGTGAGCTATGTGTCTAGGCTCCTATCAGGGCAGTGGAGAACAGTTCCCTTGCCTTGATATGCACCATCTAGTTCCACTTCAGGTGTCTTAATGCACCTTGTCTGACCTCCAGCAGTTGGTCCACAAGGCCTCAGACCTCCCCTAGATCCTGTACCATATCTGCCTGAACCATCACAGGGTATCTGAGACATCCCCATGATGATGGTGGATACAACCCAGGGCTAGATGCAGATCCTTGACCTTCTGCAAGGACACCTGTGAGCCAGGCAGGACAGCCTGGGGTCTCTAAAATGGCTTTAGATGCCTCTGCTTAGGCCACAGACCCCTGCCTGGGAGTCCATCTGAAGCACAATGACTGTCCCTCCTCAGTTTGCTGAACCCAGTATCTCTCTGGCAGGGCTGGAGGGGTGCTGACAGCAGAACACCTGGTCTCTGGGGAGTGGGTCACCCTCAGATCAGGTGAATGTGGCTGCAGCATCCCCCCACATCCTTTCCTCTGCTCTCCTCTTCTTCCAGCCAACACTGCCTCCCCCCCTCCCCATTTTCTTTGGCACACTCAGCTTCCACTCCCCATGTTTTTTTTGTAGCAGCCTCATGGCTTCTCCTAGCATCTCTTCCTTTGCCTTCCATCTCCTTACTCAGCCCTTCCACACCTCCCTGCTCTGTGCCTCCAGGCTCTCTCACCTCCCACACTCCTCTTCCCTCTCTACCCCTGCCCTGGTGCTCCTCACATCTCACTAAGACCCCCACACCCTGCTCTGCCCATGGTGCACGCAGCCCTGACCCAATCCCCAAATGGGCCCTTGGGTTGCACTTGTCCATACGACACAACTCAGCCATGACAAATATGAGTTAAACCCTGTGTGGCACAAGTGGAGCAAAGCGACAGCTGGAGATGGAGAGATGGGGCAAAACCAGACCTCCATCTGTTCGTGTATCCAGTCCAGGAAGGAGGTGGTTCGGCTGTAGACGCCTGGCTTGTTCTTTTCTGCACAGCCCACTCCAAAGCTGGTGGTCCCCACCAACTTCCAGATACTCATATCTTCACATGCTAAAGGGCCCCCACTGTCTCCCTGGAGGATAAAGAATTAAAAGAAACTTCAGTGCCCCAGAAAAGGAGGAGAACGTCTATTTGGTGGGGTAGGGGAAGAGGCACAGTCTTCAGTAATTCAGTCTCCTGTTTCTGCTCTGTTTTGGGTCCTGAGAAAAGTATATATTATAGCAGAATTTGAAGACTTCTCAGGGATGTGTATTAGATCATATTTTTCTTTCCCCTGTTAGCAGTGCAGTACAACAGAAGAAATGTTGAAGCCTGCTGTTAAGCAGCATTTAGGTGCAGGGGGCATTGCCTGTCTTGCAGGCAGGGCATCACTAATCTGCTGTCTCCATGCCATGGTCTTTGTGTCTCACAGCTGATTCTCTCAAAAAGCTCCTCAGTATTGAGCTGAGCTGAGCCCAGGGTTGCAACAAGCTTGGGCCCCACCTCTTTGCCTGCCTCCTCCTGCATGCAGCCTCACACACTGCTTTCTTGGCTCTTCCCAGACACATTGCTACCCAGATTTGGCTCAATGGTCTCACATCAAAGTGCTGAAATCCCTCAATTTATTTTGCTGGGGCAGTTTCCTGCCCTATGAGTATCAGAGCCAGCACAACAGAAAAAAAAAGGGAATTCGGAAAAAACTTCTCGCTTTGGCAAGTAGGGCTTGTTTTGTCACTTGGAGTCGTTGGCTGAGCGAGCTGCCTTTGGGCAGCTCTCTCAGTCATAGTGATGTGCTGGTGTCGGGAACCTTGGGGGGGTGGGGCGCGGGCAGGGGGTTGCAAATAGGTGCTTAAATGAAGATTTATACACCTAATGCCTTTGCTTTGTCTTGTCCCATGCGTAATTTGGTCTGAGCAAATCTGGAAACACAAAGCTCCTTCCTAGCCCTTGCTCTTCAGCCATGACTAGCTAGGTGAGTCCACATTAGTGTGTATGGGGATGAGACCTGGCACAAGGTGGGCACTGTAATGACTCTGACAGTGATTTTGAATCATCATTACCCTGTGTCGTGAAGGATCCTTTGATCCATCGCTGCTATGAACCCCTCTTACCCAGAGTCATTACCAGTCCTCTGAGTTACTCAAACATCTCTCCCTTTCTTCCTTCTCCTGCCTCACTCTACTCTTTCCAAAATCACATGCTTCTGCTTCTCTATTGACACATGTTTTGGCTGCTTTTCACCACAGGGCTTCTACACCTTGCAGGTCTCCAGAACTGCTCACAGTGCAGTGCAATTTAGTGCAGTGCAGAGGCCACAGCCAGGGCAAAGAAAGGATGGCACCATGCTGTACCACATGCAAGAAATGAAAAAATGTCTTAAGTAAATTTGGCTTCAGAAGTAGCAGATATGGTCTACAGAAGAATCAGTGATCGATATTCACGGTAAGCAGAGTAAATGGCACAAAACCAAATGCTTGCACAAGAAAGTCCTGGGAGTGCCTTCTGATAACTTATTAGTCATATTTTTTCATTGCTGCTGTTAATGAGTACAACTGCAGTTTGGAAACTTCCATACCTGGCAGGTGTCTACCCCTCCCTTTAGGAAACCGGCGCAAAGCATTGAAGGCATTATGATCCCACCGTAGACATCCCTGTGATTGCAAATTGCATTAGAAATCAGAGGAACACCTGCATAATTCATGGTGTCAGATGTATCACCTGTTAAAAACAAAAACAAAGAAAAAACTCTCTATCCTTGACACTGATCTCTAATTATAAACAGAAAATGTTTTAATATACGAGGAGTTGGCAAGCAAAGGTGAAAGAAATACCTAAAATGACAACATGCAAGTAAGGCAACTAGATGTCTCATCACTTACAGAATCCAGTAGCTAATGAGTCTACAGAGCTGTGGATTATTACAGTACATAATATAAAGCTGTACATTACATGTTTCTATTTCAAACTAGACAACCAGTGACAGTAACGAACTTAAAAGGTAGTTGGACACTGTCTTTAATACTAGTGCCAAAATTCGTTTTGAATTTATCACTTGTTTTATTAGTCAACAAATCATCTGCAAACATCTGATTTATTTTATAAATACTTATTTTATTCAGAGTCTGAATGGATGTCTTCTACAAATGGGGGTAACTGCACTATTGCAAATATATAGCTGAATTTTATGTGGTAAACCTTGCTTTAATTTTTTTCCTACCTTTCTCTATTACCTGTAGGTCATGTAACATACTGTTCTTGTTCTCTGAACAACGGCAACACATTAAGTGAGATGAATGAAGAGTGATAAAAACCAATTGCACATGAAAGTGATTCAGTATATACTATTGCTTAACATGACCTGTGAGTCATGGTTAAAAAAAAAAAAATAAAAAATTCCCTTTTTCTTTGTGGCATTATTCACAGATTCAATTTCTACATCTTCCAATCTGCCTGAAAATGCATACCTGCTTTCTCTGAAAAAAAGGATGGTCGATTTTTGCATTGATGCTGTGCTTTCTATGCTTGAAGTTACAAAGGACACAGACTGTTTGACCGAGGCTGAGTACAACATTGTGCACAGGAATATGTCTTCTTTCTCCCCCAGATATTTCAGAAAATTTAATGTTGAACAACGCTCCAACCAAATCCTGTATTTACTGTATGTGAGATGTTTTCATATAGTGTAATCAAGAGCAGACCATTGAAAATACCTCCTTCCACAGTTGCTCCCCATCCTGACACCCAACACATTTTCCCTTCTGGGAACTGTTCACCAAAATTAGGCAGGCAAATTGGCTCTATGTGACCTATTTTTAAAAAAAAAAAAAAAAAAGAAAAGGAAATTTAGCAAAAAAATTGTAAGCCTCAATAAAACTTGAGGATTTGGCTTGCAGTGAACTTGCTATGAACACCACCCAGTCCCTACATAGATAGCCTGGTGGTTCTGCGGGCCTTTTGTCTTATGGCCAGCACCATAGGTTTGAAACAATACCTACACCAGGCCTGATTAGTTTAAAGTATGAAGCAACAGAAGGAGGTGTTGGCAGGTCAATAAATTGAAGAATGAGCAAACAAGAAACGCACCATGTATGCAGCTGACGGGCACATCAGAGAACCCATGGCATGCTGCTCGGAGAGAAATGGCCTTGGCTAGCCATGGCATGACTGCATGGCACCTCCTAAGAGGTTTTGTGCAGTCGCATGTACAAAGAGCCGTGCGTGCACATTTCTGCGCTCTTCTGAAAGGGCAACAAGACGCCTGGGGTACTCTTAGCTTCCCACCCATCAGCTCATCGAGTTTCAGTGCCTCTGCGCTGTGGGGCACTGAATGCCACGCACTATAATCAGCGTTTGATGCTTGTGGGGGCAAACTGTGATGTGTCAAGGTGAGTTGGCACTGAGCAAAGGGAGGGAAGGTACAAGATATTACTGGGCAATTCCTGGTGGTTCAGTTCTCCACACAGGACTGGTCCCAGCTCAAAGAATCAAGCCCTCAGTGTAGAGTCTCCAAGCCTCCTGGGCTAACCCCAGCCCCCCCAGGGCATAGTGGGTATCTCACTCAGGTGCAGAGACATTACTGTTCTTGGCAGCTTCCCAAACTTATTTCCAAGCAGAAGAAAACTGCGCTAGCTGAGATATGAAACAGAAAAAAATCAATCTTCATTTTCATTCAAAGTGAAAATTTGAAGTATTTCAAGAGAATTGATTTCAGAACTGACGCTCTAGATGCATCAGAGAGAGCCAGCTCCCCTTTACAGAGAGCTCACAGTGATTAGGAGGTATTGGCAGGTGATCGTTACAATTAATACAGTATTATTATTATTGACTAACTGTGTCAGCTGTGGGTAGCATCCTGCTGAGAATAAAAAAGTATTTTTAATTTAAAAGCATCATTATATTTGAATTGCCTTTTTTTCTCTTTGAAATTTAAGCTTGATTTTCAGCTTTGGACACTGCTGGATCTCCCTATACTCACAGAAAGGACGTGATAAAATCTTTGTGACCTCCAAGTGAAATGAGGTGGGGCATTTATTTTAGATAGGAAAAATATTTAGAAAGCATAAAGTTAATGTTTGCCTGTAATTAAATGCCTTCAGTAAGCCAATACTAGAACGAACTGGGAACATTTTGCGGAGCCCTGTGACCACGTTGTTGCTCTCTGTGCCTGGATATCAAGAACAGAGGAGTTTCTCATGCTGAGGCCAGGGGATTCCTGCCAGTGTAGTCTGAACAGGGATCGCTGCCTTGCCATCACAGCAGCAGGCTGGCTATATCTACACTGCACATCTCTCATTGCTTTTAGAGGCAGTGGGGATCCACTCGACTGTCCTGGGTCAGGCATAGCGCGAATATAGAAATACAGAAATTTCCCTGTCTGTACTAGGAAAGACCGTTCTCACTTTTAGCTGAAAGGTGTGAAATTCAAGCGAAAGATAACCGAGAGAATTACCATTGAGAGCAAGCGGTGCTGCCAGTTTCATCAGTGCTATATCATTTCCCATTGTCTTGGGTTTATAATTTCGATGGTATATAATTTTTTCCACTGAATACGGGTGAACCTGAGTGTCTTGCTGAGTCACAAAACCAACCTGCACACTCCATGAACTCGGCAAGTACAGGCTGAAACAAAGAGGCAGGAGAGAGTGAAAAACCTTCAAGAAAACCCCAGATTTTCTAATTGTCTCCTGAGCTTACGAACCACCTAAGACTCTCCAGGCAAATAGCTACAGCCTACTGTACTTGCTTGCCTATCTATTAATATTGGCTATGTTTTGCATCTAATGTCAAGAAATACAGAAGGGGTGACTAATCTTAGTAACATACTGGGTCACTGGTATATCATCTGTTCAGTTTTCTACAAATATATGAGTGTTTTGCATTGGCCTGCCTGTCTGTTCTCCTCTTTGGCCCCACAGCAGTCTCTGCTGCCGCCTGGCACACCTGAGCTCAGTGACCCAGCCAGCTCAACAGCACTTGTGGCAAGGCGTTTTCAAGGGAGAAGCTTTCCTTCTAGAAGTTGCTTCTGCCCCCAGTTCATGAGCAGGCACATCTTTCAACCTCCAGCACAAGAGCAACTCCTCTTCTCTTGGCTTCACCCCTACGGGCTAGCAGTGTGTTAGTGTCAGTGCTGGGAACAGGCTCCAGGGATGTGGGTTGTGTTGTCAGCTCCCATACCCATCAGCCTTTGAACACACCACATCCAACTGAGCTGTGGGGGACAAAGCTAAGGACAAAAGTCCTAAAATATTTAATCCCTAAGTAATTATTTTTATGGCAATACAGGGCTCTAAATAGGATCTAGGAGTGGGATTTTTCTGTCCCAACTCTTCTCTCTACTGCGTATAATCACATCCTACAGGACTGGCTTAGAAGCAGGCAGCTGTGTTGTGGGTGACTAACACTGGTCAGACAAATCCCATTTTAGCTGCCTAAATGTCTTTGGTGAAAGTGGCCTGGAATTTGCAAGAGCAGGAAGAGCTCTCCTGCCCTGTAAGCAACAAATAAGACTGCAAAACCAGACAACTCATTATAAATAAGAGAGAGGGCTATGTTTACAATTATGCAAAGAAGAAGAGTCTAAATAACTGCTTAGCACCTATTTACAACTCAAAGACTACTTCAAACAGCGTAAAAAGGAACAGTGAGTATGTGGTAACAGGCACTAAGCACAGTACACCTCACTAACTACCACTGATTGATCCCGTCAACTTAAAAGGATAGTGTAATTTATTTTGGAGCTTCAGAGCAGCCAAGTACAAATTCCTCCTGAGCTGTTAACTCACACGCAATGCACAGAAATTCTGGATTGGGATACCTAAAATCTAGCACTTAAAAGCTGATTTCCCAGGAAGCTGGGAGTGCCCAGAATATCTGAAAGCTGGGGCTCCCGATTTGAACCACTTCTCGGGGAGATTTTTACAATAAAGGCTTGCATTCGTGCCAGAAAAGAGAGATGGTTCAACTGTTACAGAGCAAGCCCACGAAATGAGGATAACCCAGTCTTTCCTGCAGTTTATTTTTAAGAGAAAGCACAGTGCATTAGCCCTCCTCTGCTGTGGCCCCCCAAACAGACTACTGCAAGCAGGGTCACCGGGACACCCCGAGCAAGACAATTTAGGAACTTACTCGTAGACGCAGTGGGCGGCCGTGATGATCCAGCGTGGGGTGATGACCGACCCTCCACAGAGGTGGTGCCCGTGGAACTGCAGGCTGACCTGCCAGGGCCACTGCTGGGGGGAGGACGCATTGCCCCCCACAATCCGTGGCCCGTAGCTGGCCCGTGTCCCGCACGCTGCCAGAAAGCAAAGGTTAAGGTCCACGGAGGAAACACAGTAATGTTTTTGGTCACCTTCAGTCCCTCTGCTCCCAGCCTTGCTGAGACTGGGAGCTCTCTGCAGCTGGACCGTCCCCATCCCCATGGCTCACATCTTGGGCTATGCCATCCCCATCCTCTCTCCCATCCCTGCAGCATTGTGCCCCACAGCCGGTATGGGGGCTGTGGGGCTCATATCTTCTCCCCTGCAGACATAGCACTCAGCTGAGCTGTGAAACCCACTGTTCTGCCCTCAAATGTACAGAGTGCCAGGGCCCACATAGGCAGGCTGAAGCATCTCCCCTCCTCTGGTGATTATTTTGCTGTCATTTTTTGACTTTTCGTATCCTGATCTGAAAACTAGTTGCCATGGAGAGGAGTGGGATGAAAGTTCAAATGTTAAGACAGAATTTCCCTTTCTCCACTGAGATGGAAAAGAGTTGGAATTACAGTAGCAATCCGTGGACTCAACTCACAATCCTTAAACATCTAATTCCTACTGTGATTCTCACGGAAACACTCCTGTTTCCTGATGCTCCCAATCTGCCCTCCCAGCCTATTCTCACTCTCTGAAATTCTTTTAAATTTTACATAAGAAATACAATTTTTCTTTGGTGTGATAAATTGATCGTATAGTATGCCCTGGGCACACAATTCCTCCCAACTCTTGCCATGCAGCTGATGAAGAAGAAGAGTTTCTGATTTTATTTTCATTTTTTCCTGATTCTTACCCAAACATTTTAAGATGATCACATTGCCAGAAGCGCATTCCTCTCTAAAATGAAAAGATAGTGCAGTATTAGTTCCAATTCACAAATACTGAGTTTTTTTTCAGATTGTGTCATCTTCCATACAGCTATGTGCACAGAAATGTAACTCACTCATACATTGAAAGAGGTACAAAGTCACATAGTCATCCAATCTACTCAGAGCATTTAGCTAAAATACTTAAGTTAGGAGCTCAGACACCATCAGGAGCCTGCAGACCATATGCTGCCCTGCTGAAGAGTGGTTCATTTTCCGCAAGGGGAGGCTCATCAGCAAGTTTCAACATGTGATCTATAGTCTCCTTGGATCCATAGGTTGCTTCTCAGTGAAAGGTAACTAAGAAAAACAAGCAATTGCCAGGAGGAAGAAATGGGCCATAAAGGGTTCATAAGCCCACTGGGAAATATCTAAGGATCTGTAAACTGAAACAAACTGCTTCACAATGGAAAAAAAAAGGATCACGAGACAAATAGGCTTTGCAAATAGCTCATTTTAAAGCCTGATTTTAATGCGCCTTGGTTGAGGCTCTTAATTCGTATTTCAGCAAGACTGCTACTGAATCTTCGTCTGTGAGGCATAACAACAAACACCAACCACTTATGAATTACAATATGCCTGAAAAAATAGGCAACAGTCTCAAACTATTAGTAATCTTCCTTCTATTGATTGCCATCTTTCTGTCAGGATGAACAAGCTGAAGCATACCTGAGGTTTGTTGCATTGTACAGGGATGTCACTTGATCAGCTGATAACCAGTGGCTGAGGGATACAAAATGTCTTTGAAATGGTTTTTCAACTGCAGCCACGGGCAGGTAACCTGAACTCACGTAACTGCAAATGAACCATAAACACAACTTCCTCAGGCAGCATTTCAGTACTCTGTTTAAATAATTCAGCAGTCCTGCTAATGAAAGCCCAGTGTAGCAACCACAATAATCAGATTCTGACACTTGATAAAGTAATCCTATCCTCCGCAAGAAACACTTCTTATAATGTGTATGTATATTTGCCATAATCATGTGTGGAAGTCATACATGCTGAGAGACATTTAACTGGCAGAGAAAGTGAATTTTAATTCCAATATTGCAGTAAAACTTTTATTGTAACTGGTTGGCACACTTCCTGAAGCCCTAACAAGCTCATTGTCTCATTTTTCTAGAGTTACGTTTTTTCAGCAGGGAGGATGAATAACTTGTAATTTTTTTCTTGTCTTTTTTGTTGAATAATTGAGACATATTTTATCCTAAAAGTAACAAGAATTCATTCAAAGAAGCTGTATGCTGCTGACTATGATGTGCAGAAATCGGGATGATGCCGTTGTAAGAAATAACAGAGCATCATTGCAAGTCACAGCTTCAAATTCTTTCTCAACTGTGTGAAAGTTTGTGAAAGAAATGGCGCTTTTTCAGGAATGGGATCAATCCAGTAAGAACCCCCTTGCCAGGTTCTTCTCTAACTGTGAGACGGAGCTTAAGCCCTAATAGATGTCACGACACGAATTGTAGGTACAATTTTCCTACAGAGGAAATAAAAGAAATGGAAAACGCTCACATGTTTTTAGTGCCTCTCTGACAGGCTGTAACCTACTAGAGGGAGCAGGCGCCTGCACACCACAGGGAAGATTTAACCAAACCACTGTATGTAGCCATCATCCAGGATTCATAGCAGTAATAAATAGTATTGGCAGTGCACAAGTATTCAGGACTACTTCCCACATCATCCCAAATCTCCTCAACCATATCATTCACAAAGATTGACTGTTAAGTTCTTTTTTCTTTTAAAGCATAGAGTAATACAATGTTTCACTGGAAAGACTGAAAATCTCAGTTTGTTCAAAATGTCAAATAAAGTTTCTTCTTCCATTTTGTGTTCATACCTTGAGAAACCCAGGTGTTTGCAGGTAGTATTTCCATACTCTGCTTTCCAGTCATCAGAGCAGACTGTTCGCCAGGATCCAGAAGTGAACACTTGCAGCACCGCTTTCTTGCCACTCAACCTGACTGAGATTCAGCAGAAGAAAAGGCTGAGTTGTGAAGAAGAACCACCAGGTACACAGCAGGTACACAACAGTGTCAATGCACCACTGTGGCATCCACATTTCTTGTCTGAGTTTTAACTACCTGTCTCTCTCATCACTTGAATGCTTTGACAGACTTTTTCTGTGCTTTCCCAGCCCCTTAAGGAAGTGAACCAAAATATGCTGAGCTAGAACAGCCAGGAGAAAAAAGTCTGCACTCATTGTAATGGATAGGGGACATTAGCTCTAATACAGATGGAGAAGGCTGCCTTGCCCTCCAGTGAGCCTAAGCAAGTCTTGCTGACTGCAGTGAGTTGGAGCTGCAGATGCTTGGCACCAAGGAAACCTATGATAAAGGTAAGTGATGAAAGGTGGTTGGCACATCCCGTGCTGCACAGCAGTCAGAGAGGTGGATGCACTTGCACCCAGCTGCTCCTGGGCTCCCGTGGAGTTCCCTACCTACTTCTCTCTGCTGAAATGGAGCTGGCATGTCTGAGCTGAGCTTGTAAAGGGAGAGGAGAGGAGAGGGGAGGAGAGGGGAG